TTCCTTCCTTGGACCACTTTTGGTAGGTCCTGACCACTGCAGACCAGGAACATCCCACAAGAGCTGCAGTTTTGGAATTGCTGGCCAACCCAGTAATGTAATGAGATAATCAATGTTATTCACTATTCACAATGTTATGGCTGATCGGCGTATGTTATTTTGGACTGTAATATTAAATCCTCTTTTGTTTGACAGAAAAACTTGCTTGTGCACTAAAGAATTACCTTTCTTTGTCTGTACAGATGTCATTGTTGCAAACAGTCTTTATCCACACCTATTGGATTATGATAAACCTGAAAAACATAAATAATTTATATTACTAAAAACAGTGATATAGAGTGATTTCGATTTAAAAAACAAATAAAAAAATGTTGTCCTACTTTATGCTGTTATTAGCTGTGGCTAGAGGTTCTCACTATCACACATAGACCCAAAAACCTTGGGCAACTGTATACTGACACTTGTTAAATGCTAATGTTGAAAATACACAGTCAGATCTTGTTTCAGATCCATCAATGCAATGACATTTACAAATTATATACCGTTAGGTCCTAACTAAACAATTTTATTCAAATTTTATCCAATTAAATAATACTTATATTAGCCAAGCACTGGTAATTATTGATCTGACAAATCAAATTGGAAACAAATTGTCAATATGTAGCCAATGTTCTGTTGCATATTTATGAGAACATTGTGTTGTTTCTCTTTCATTTGGGAGTTTTTTTAATATTACACAACAGGCATGCTTTATATTAGAATACAGACTACATTACTACAGACAAAGCATAAAGCAAGTTTGCCACCAACATTTTAAAGCTATTTCCATTTATCGAAAGCCACCCCTGTGATGGAAATGACGCAGATTAATGTTCATATTTATGGTGCTATACAGGGAGAACAGTAGCATTGCTCTGTCAGATTCTCCCGATCAGATGTTTAATGCCTCGGATTAGGAAGTCTAGACTGGCTGCTTTTACTTTTGAACTTGGTTACAGAAGGGTTTATAAACTGCATTTACTAGTGTCACCAACATAAAGCTATTGGGCAATAAATATACTAAAAAGAAGCTCATATTTCTTCAAGGCAAGCAATGACATCATTCAGAACTGCACTCACAGCATTCTAAAATATGTTCTGGGACAATTCACTGTTATGGTGTAACTGAACCTGTTCTGCACAGTACTGTAAGAGAGGTCAACGGAGCACTGTACACCTAATTATAATGACAACTTTAAAAAACCAAAACAGAAAATCGGAAATTAGCTTCTATCATTATGAGATAAAAATAATATGAGAATAGCTGTTGTGTGTTGGGGAGGATACAAACGTACATTTTTACTAGCAATGCAACTCCTCACGCCTACAATATCTGCTGATCTTTGATTGACATAGCTAACATGAAGTCTAAAGAAATTCCTCCTGACATATCACAGTATACACAGTACCAATTAAAAAAAATCCTAAGTCAGTCTCCTCTTCTGCGGTGAACAGACTGCAACACTGTTAGCTTTGAAGTAAGTCTCAAGGTGAGAAGATTCAACAAAGCTGATCTAAGGGCTCGTTCAAACTAGGGATGAGCACGGGTTTGGTCCAGACGTGAGGTCATCTGAACTCGCAAAGAAGCTGTGAGTACTAGCCCAGATAGTTGCACCAGGTCATTATCTGCCCTGCAGTAGTACGTAAACAAAGGGGCAGGATGCTGGTGACATCATTGGCCTGATATGACTCCATGGCCATCTTAGGTAAATGTATTTGGCCAAATAAGGCCATGTTGCCATATAAGGTCAATTGACCAAATATGGCCATGTAGTCATATAAGCCATGTGGCCAGCGGACACCGGCCTGCACATCAAAATGGCCTGCTGGTGTGAAAGTGCCCTGACATTTGTGAACACATAATAAAGAACTGCACAGGCACTGTGAATGACATTGTTGTGTCATCTTCAAGCCAGGATCTCAGTCCATGAAGTAGCTGCTGAGCCCGGATAATTCCTGAACAAGGATGGTGTTGTCCTCCGATATGGAAAACCAGATGAATAGCAGATGAACGGGGAGTACTGTAATCTCTGTGATAGGTAATAAGTCCCTGTAAATGTTACACATACACATACTTAGCTTCCATGCACATAACTTGAAAAATATATCTGGTGCGAAGTACACTTTAAGTTGAAGGGAATTTCAGTTATGTGCACAGTGTATCCACAGCCTGTGGCTCTACAATTCTCAAGCATGCTCATCATCCAGGAGCAAGATCTCCTCCTGTGCACATAACACCCTGGAGATGCCTCCAGCAAACAGACACAGCAGATGTAATTTTAGCACTGTCAACTAAATCCTTCCATAAAGCTAACTAAACAAGAACCAGCATGTTCTTAAAACATCATGAAGGACTCTTATATGACATATATAGATTGAATTAAAGGTTTTCACATTAAACCAAACCCATGCTAAGCGAGATACAAGGGCTGCTGTTCACATACATTTAAAAACACTAACTGCCTGGTTGTTGCTGGCTTCAAAACATTCAGAGTTGCTGGCCTGCAACAAGCATGCCAGTTAGAAAGTGAGAGTGGTATAATAACTTTTGAAATGTGCTCTTGATCCGGATCTGTGCCTCAGAAAGAGTTAAACAACTGGCTCAGCAAGGCAGCAAGGCAGTTAGCACATTTTCAGAAGGACAGTCCGTAACAGAAGCCCCATTATGTATAACCTATAAGTATAGGTTTCCTTTAGGCCAGGGTTAGCCAAATAATAGTCCTCCAGCTATGGTGGAACTACAAATCCCATGAGGCATTGCAACATTCTCACAGCCACAGACATGACTTCCTGGAGAGAGATGCATGATGGGATTTGTAGTTTCATCACAGATTGAGGACCAGGGTTTTGCTACAGCTACAGGGTAGATTTAGTCCTCCTTCACCAGGCCGTTCTGATCTGATCTGCTCTGGTTTGATTAGAAGCTCAATTAGTCTATGGCAGGGGCGTCCCTACACTATTCACTTTCTTGAGTGCAGCCCACCTGGTGACACACTTACCTTCAGCTCAGATACAACAATGTTCACTGTGCTGCCCTACCCAGCAGCACACAGTCTTCACATAGAAAACCTCCAGCCCTGTTCATATTTGGTGGTATTCCACAGGACTACTGAAGACCACCATGAGTATGGCCGGTCTATAGGAATGAATGAAGTCATGGTATGCATGTGTGGTGTGAAGAGGATTTGGCAGGATGTCTTCTTTGTGAGAACTGTGCAGCCCCGTGTATGACAACTGTTTCATCTGCCAAAGTCTTTGTGATTCGTGCAGACAGTCCTGTACCCACTCACCCCTGCCAAACAACACAACTGGGTCCCAAATCTTTATTGTGCAGCAGTAGCACAATTTAGTCAAGAACACTCCCCCAGCCTTACTAACTAGACAGTATAGGCGCAGCAGCTTACCAATAAGGTCATCTCAGTGTTCCCTCAACTGTACGCATCTGTGAACACATATACTGCAATCTGTCCTGATTGGCTCAGTGTGCTGGTTTTCCCTCTTCTACTCTGAGTGCTGCTGTGCAAGGGATTATGTGTGCATGGCATCATTAAATACATTGTACTTATTCCTTGTCTATTCACTGTATTAGTGCATGGAACAGGCTTGAGTACATGAGCTGTATAAGTGAGGCCATGGTAATCAAGCAGCACTCTTCTTTCACTGATCTGACTTTTGCAACCTTAAATATGATTGCTAACTAAAGGTTACTGCACATAGTATATTATGATTGTTTTAGGAAACGTGTCAATAATCTGCATAGTGTCAGTTAAAAACAACAGCAAGAATATTGTTTTATTGTAGCCAATGTGAAACAAGATGAAGCATGTTGCAAGCGCATTGTATTTACAAATTGTGAATTAGTTCCTGTCAGTTTCATGTTTCTAAGAGTGTCAGTTTTAGGATTAGAATTGAAAGGTGATTATCTTTATTTATAATCTGGGTATAACCTCATTTTGCAACAATGAAGTATCTTTGTGAATACATTGTACTGATGTTGCTCAAAATATGAGGTAAGATTATTACAATACAAATTCAGCGTTGCATTCCACTTACAGGACACATGTGGAGGCTGCCATTGCTGACCTCCTACAAAAAGACTAATTATCACCTGGCTGTTCTGTTGACTCTTTGGGTTTAGTATTTATTGAATCACTGGCCTGAATCAAATGCATGCAGATCGGGAGCTCTGATCTCACTACACCTCACTTGCTGCATGCTTGTATTGGATCTGCAGCCCAAAAAGGATTCCAGCAATTGGAACATTGCTACAGCCAGGAAACCAGCCTTTTTTAAAAAAAGATGTGAGCATAGGCAGCCTAAATATTTTGCTTAGTACAAGTTCCCTTTAAAAACGCTGAGATATATTCAGGGCTGGATTTACTCTCTCTGCTGCCCCAATGCCAGGTTCCTCAATGCGTCCCCCTGTATGCAGGCTGCATACAAGTGATCTCGGCGACATCACCGAGATTCCTTGTGCAAAACAAGTGGTGGCTTCCCTGCTGTACATTTAGCCCTGCTTGCCCAAAATGTAGAAAACAACTACCCACCCGGCACCCGGAACTGCATGTCCCGGGTATCGGGAGATAGGAATTCCACACCCCTGCTGCCCCTCTACTCACTGCTGCCCCAAGGCCGGCATCAGTTGGCCTTGTGGGAAATCCGGCCCTGGATATACAGTATCTATAGGCTACCAATGCTGATCGTCTTGAAAATGCTACTTGCATAGATGTCAGGCTGCTGAGAAAGTACTGAAGCCAGGGTTAGCAAGTCAACCTTCAAGGACATTTGTGCTAAGAGTAAAATATAAAATGATATAGCTGAACTCTCCTGAATATCCTAGTTGTCGGGTTGTCATGCTGATCCAGTGGCTTCAGGGCCAGCATCACACCTATGTCTTGTGGTAAGAAGCTCTAAAACCGCAATAAACAGCGGTTCATTTTGAATGGCACTCCCATACATTAAGGTCCATTGTAGTGTAGTAACATACATGTATGCATTAATCCACCGCCACGGAACATCCGGGTATGAAGGACGTCTAATACTTTGACCTGACCTGGAAGTAATATGTTCTTGGCAGTTCTATGCACTTATTTTGGGTTAGAAAACAAGAAAAAAATGAAAGTAGAGGATCAGCATGGTAACAGGGAATTATAATTATCAGAATAGAATAGATGTAAAATGACCCACATTTTCATCACCATTTTGATTAGATGTCTTAAGGCCGTGACACACTGCACGCGAAGCCGTGCAGAGC